GAGGCAGGGCAGGAGAATCGCTTGAACCCGGGAGGCAGAGGTTGTGGTGAGCCGAGATTGCACCACTGCACTCCAGCCTGGGTGACAGAGTGAGACTGTCTTAAAAAAAAAAAAAAAAAAAAGAAGAAGGAGAAGAAGTAATACATTTTAGTCTTGAGGGTTATTTCCATCTTGTGAGAAATGAGTGTGTGGGCCGAGAGTAGGTGAAACATACATTATTGGTATGTAGGAAGTGCGCTGGCCTGGGGGACCTGAGTGGTAGTTCCAGTTCTGCTTAGAAGAGTCGCCTTTCTTCTTGGGCCTCTGTTTTCCCCTCTGAACCAGGAGGTGGTTGGTCAGAACTCTCTGTTTTGGGTTCGTTCATTCATTAAAAGTTTGCTAAGTACCTATTACATGCTGAATACTATTGTAATTGTTTTGGATACAGCAATGAACAGGACAGACAAAAATCTCTAACCTTGTAGAACTTACATTCTAAGGGAGAAGACAGTTAATAAACAAGAAATATAATAATTGGCCAGGTGTGGTGGCTCACTCCTGTAATCCCAGCACTTTGGTAGGCGGAGGCCAGCAGAGTTCGAGACCAGCCTGGACAACATGGTGAAACCCCGTCTCTACTGAAAATACAAAAAAAAATTAGCCAGGCATGGTGGCGCCCTCCTGTAAGCCCAGCTACTTGGGAGGCTGAGGCAGGAGAATCGCTTGAATCTGAGAGGCGGAGGTTGCAGTGAGCCGAGACTGCACCATTGCACTCCAGCCTGGGTGACAGAGCGAGACTCCATCTAAGGAAAAAATAAAAATAAAAAAGAAAGCTTCAAAACCAAGCCTCACTTGTTGTCTATTTTTGCCTTTAGGCGTCCCGATTGGTTCTCAAAGTTGATAAGGGAACCCCTGGCCCCCTTCTCTCCTCTTCATCTTTTGTACACGCTGGTTTGCACACGTTGGTTGAAAGAACAAGGCTGTAGTGTCTCATAATTCCTCTAGGTGGCAGTGCTGCCTTGCCCACTGGGGACACTTCGTATTTTGGACTGTTCCCAAAACAGCCACATTCCACTTGTCAGTGAAATCTCTCAGGAGTAGAAAACATTGGAAAGCCCGTAGTCATCATGGACACCCTCCTGCCCAACTTCCCGTCTCTCTGAAATCCTCCCTGCTTTGGCAAAACTGTCAGGGTCTAACCAAGCCAGGCTGGCCCCAGGCCTGTGCCTTGGCCGTCTTATCTTGCCACTTTTAGGAGGCGGTGACGATAAGGAAGAAAGAAATGGCTGCTTCCCCCATTCATGCTTCCCTGAACTCCTTCTTCGAGACTAGACTGATGTTCAGTTTAGCGTTGTAAGTCTATGACGATACTCACTTCTGAACACAAATCGAGGGAGGGAGGGAGAAGAGTCACACCCATCCGCCCTGGCCTCTCCTGCTCCAGGGCAGCCCTGCACCCTAAATGCCGCTGCCTCAGGCAGAGCCCTGGAGAATATGTCATTTATGTTTTTGGGGAATAATTGGACCTACTTTCCCTCCTGGAAATGACAAAAGTTCACAAAGTTTGGAGGAAGAAGAGGCGAGAACGATCCCCGGACCAACCAAACCCCGCGCCCCTGCATCCTGCGCCCAGTGCCTAGTCCCGATGCCATCGTCGCCGCCACCATGCCCAAGAGAAAGGCTGAAGGGGGATGTTAAAGAAGATAAAGTCAAGATGAAGGACGAACCACAGAGAAGATCCCCGAGGTTGTCTGCTAAACCTGCTTTTCCAAGGCCAGAGCCCAAGCGTAAAAAGGCCCCTGCAAAGAAGGGAGAGAAGCTACCCAAAGGGAAAAAGGGAAAAGCTGATGCTGGCAAGGAGGGGAATAACTCTGCAGAAAATGGAGACGCCAAAACAGACCAGGCACAGAAAGCCGAAGGTGCTGGAGATGCCAAATGAAGTGTGTGCATTTTTGATAACTGTGTGTACATCTGGTGACTATACAGTTTGAAATACTATTTTTTATCAAGTTTTATAAAAATGCAGAATTTTATTTCACTTTTTTTTTTTTTTAAAGCTATGCTGTTAGCACACAGAACACTTCATTGTCGTTTCTGGGGGAAGAGGCATATGTCACTAATAGAATGTCTCCGAAGCTGAACTGATGCGGGGAAAACACCTTTCACTTCTATTTTTGAGAGACTTCATTTTGGCTCTCAGGAAGAGGGATTCCCTACTTTTGACACACATGGCTACCTTGGCACAAAAGCCTTGTGGTATGGAAAAACAAATCTGTTTTTATGTCCTCTTCTCCCTTTACACCTTTCAGCATACACTTAACTCCCTTAAGCCCAGACGTCTGTTGGGACCTGATCCCTAGTCATTGGTTACCAGTGTGTCAGACAATCTGGACTTTCCAGTGATGCCACTGAGATGGCACCTGTCAAAAGAGCAGTGGTTCCATTTCTAGATTATGAATCTTCAGATAAATTCTGCTATTTTCATTTCACTTCCTGAAAGTCAGGGTCGGCTTGTGAAAAGCTATTAAACAACATGCTGAATGTGAAACGTCAACCTCTCTCTAAACTTTCCCTGTTAAGAGCATCAGATGAAGACTTCATTGGATTTTATAGTGACTTTCTTTTTGGTAGTCCATTGAAGAATCCTGGGAGTTTGAAAGTTGTTTTATACTGTTAATGATTGTCTGGCCATGTCCTACCTGAAATACCATGATTGTTTATGGAAAGTATCTTTAATAAAGCTGGATACAGTTTGGCTTGGAAAAAAAAAGTTCACAAAATTTGCAGCCTGATGATGTGATAGAAAAATAAAAACTCATTTTCTGGGGAGAAATTCAAGCTGCAGCAGAAATTGGCATAAGTAAGGAGGAGCCTAATGCTAATCCTCAAGACAATGGGGGAAAATATCTCCAGGGCATGTCAGAGACCTTCTTGGAAACGCCTCCCATCACAGGCCCAGAGGTCTAGGAGGGAAAAAATGTTTTTCTGGGCCAGGTCCAGGGCTCTCCTGCTATGTGCAGCCTCGGGATTTGGTGCCCTAGAGCCCAGCTGCTCCAGCATGGCTAAAAGGGTACAGCTTGGGCCATAGCTTCAGAAGGTGCAAGCCCCAACTCTTGCAGCTTCCACATGGTGTTGAGCCTGTGGATGCACAGAAGTCAAGAATTGAGGTTTGGGAACCTCCACTTAGATTTCAGAGGATGTATGGAAATGCTTGAATGTCCAGGCAGAGGTATGCTGCAGGGGTGGAGCCCTTATGGAGAACCTCTGCTTGGGCAGTGTGCAAGGAAAATGTAAGGTGGGAAAACTCCACACAGAGTTCCCACTGGGGCACTGCCTGATGGAGCTGTCAGATGAGGCCCACTGCCCTCCACACCCCAGAATGGTAGATCCACCAACAGCTCACCATGTGCCTGGAAAAGCGGCAGACACTCAATGCCTATGAAAGCAGCCAGGAGTGGAGCTGTATCCTGCAAAGGCACAGGGCCAGAGCTGCCCAAGACCATGGGAACCTACCTGTTGCATCAGCATGACCTTGATGTGAGACATGGAGTTCAAAAGAGATCTTTTTGGAACTTTAATATTTGACTGCTCTGCTGGATTTTGGACTTGCATGGGACCTGTAGTCTTTTCATTTTGCCCAATTTCTCCCATTTGGAATGGGTGAATTTACCCAATGCCTGTACCTCCATTGTATCTCGGAAGTAACTAACTCAGCTTTTGATTTTACAGGTTCATAGGTAGAAGGGACTTGCCTTGTCTCAGATGAGACTTTGGACTTGAACTTTTGGTTAATGCTGAAATGAATTAAGACTTTGGGGAACTTTTGTGAATGCATGATTGGTTTTGAAATGTGAGTACATGAGATTTGGGAAGGGCCAGGGTGCAATGGTATGGTTTGGCTCTGTGTCCCCACCCAAATCTCACCTCTAATTGTAATAATACCCACTTGTTGTGGGAGGGACCCAGTGGAAGGTAATGAATCATGAGGGTGGGTTTCTTTCCATGCTGTTCTCATAAGTCTCATGAGATCTGATGGTTTCATAAAGGGGAGTTCTCCTGTACACACTCTCTTGTCTGCTGCCATGTAAGATGTGACTTTACTCCTCATTTGCCTTCTGCCATGATTGTGAGGCCTCCCCAGCTACATGGAACTGACTCTATCAAACCTCTTTCTTTTATAAAGTACTCAGTCTCAGGTATGTCTTTATTAGCAGTGGGAGAAAAGACTAACACATGGACTCAATCGACTCTCCCACCTTAGCCTCCCAAGTAGCTGGGACTACAGGTGCATGTCACTATGAACAACTAATTTTTTTGTAGAGATGGAGTTTTGCCATATCGCCCTGGCTAGTCTGGAACTCCTGAACTCAAACGATCTTCCACCTCAGCCTCCCAAAGTGCTGGGATTACAGGCATGAGGCATCATGCCCAGCCTTAAAGTGTTTTAAACAAGTAGAACATGACCAGGGACAAACAAAACACATCGGTAGCCTTACTTTAGTGCACAGGCTGTGGTTTTGTGACTGCTGGCTCGAGCCATCATGTTAGCTAAGACCATCAGTGTTGTTTCCTGTTTGGTCTCCTGCCTCTAGCCTTGCTCACTACCATGCACTTTGTTCACAGTCACCAGAACATCTCCCCAATACCCTAGTCACACCCATTCATTCCACTGCTTGACACATCCCTTGCCACTGCCCATCCCAAGCTACCCACTAAATGAAGTCCAGATGATGCAGGCGGGCTGCCAGGCTTGCCATCCTGACCCCAGGCTCCCTCCCTCCCTACCTGTGTGCTCCCCTGGCAAACACCCAGCTCCTTTGTTAACTCCCCTGAGGCCTGCTCCAGTCACCTGCTGTTGTGTCTTTTCTATGTCTGTCTGCTCCACTAGACTGTGATGGTCCTCAACAAAGTGACCACATCGTATTCATCTGTGCATATGTGGGACACCTGCCACTTAGAAGGTGGCTGGCAAATATTTTTCAAACAAATTAAAAATGTATGAATGATGGCTGTTGGCCAAGTGAGGTAGAATTGTCATAAGAATGTTTATTTCCCACTTCATTTATTCCTAATTAAGACCTGAGAATCCTTTTGATAAGGACAATTCTTTTCCCTTTTTGGTCTCCATTCCCCGTGCTCTGAGAGCCAGGGCAAGCTGGCCCTTTGTCCCAGCTGGTCTTCTTATGGGTCAGTCTCTGGAGTTTCTGGGGCTTCCTTTATTCTCCTTCTCTTGAGTTTTGGTTTTGGAGAAAGCTCCCTTAAAGAATCTGAAAAAGAGAAGGTCAGAGACAGTCAGTGACATCACAAACAGTAAGAATCTCAGTCTGTAATACATGGGGGGTGTTGTAGGGGCAGAGAGGAAGAATAGCAAAATCTTATCTTGCTTCCCACCTATATCACTTAGTCTTTTCTCAGAGAAACCCTGTAGAGAGATGGCATTGTCCCCAGTTTACAGACGAGGACTGTCACCCAGGTCCAGGGTAAGGCAATGACCCGCCCAAAGTCTTAACAGCAAGTTAGTGGAAGAGTCAGGGCAAGACCCAAGTTTCCTTGACCTCTGGCTCCAACCTCTGATTCTTCCTTACTCGTCTCCTAGGCCTCATGACCCAATTCCCAGTACTGTTTGCAAACCCCATTGCCAAGTTTTAATTAAGAACTGACTTTATGGCCAGGCATGGTGGCTCACGCCTGTAATGCCAGCACTTTGGGAACCTGAGGTGGATGAATCACTTGAGGTCAGGAGTTTGAGACCAGCCTGGCCAACATGGTGAAACCCCCATCTCTACTAAAAATATAAAAATTAGCCGGGCATGGTGGCACATGCCTGTAATCTCAACTACTCGGGAGGCTTGAACCGGGGAGGCTGAGGTTACTGTGAGCTGAGATTGCACAACTGCACTTCAGCCTGGGCCACAGAGTGAGACTCTGTCTCAAAAAAATAAATAAATCAAAAATAAAATAACTGACTTTATTAACATAGTGCCAAAGAAATACCACATAGGTGATTTTCATTGCAAGGATAGACTCGGTGACTAATCTTAGCCCATTCCCGGTGGGTCCACGAGTTACTCTGTGCTTTGTCAGGTAGTAATGGGAAGAGCATAACCTCATCTCTTATGTAGCCTCTAGCCAAAAACACGTTTAATTTGAACCCATGAAGACTTGCAAATCCTGTTTCTAGAGGAACAAGCTAAAAGATGTCAAAAAGAAGCAACAGGGAATAAATCAGGAAGGAGAACATACTGCTGAATAGAAGTCTCATCTTTTCAACAGGTCAGGAATGTAAAACAAACAAACAAACAAAGAAAACAGCCGGGCGCGGTGGCTCAAGCCTGTAATCCCAGCACTTTGGGAGGCCGAGACGGGCGGATCACGAGGTCAGGAAATCGAGACATCTGCTAACACAGTGAAACCCGTCTACTAAAAATACAAAAAAAAAAAAAAAACTAGCCGGCGAGGTGGCGGCGCCTGTAGTCCAGCTATCAGGAGGCTGAGGCAGAGAATGGCAAACCGGGACGGAGCTTGCAGTGAGCTGAGATCCGGCCATGCATCAGCCGGGTCAGAGCAAAAAAAAAGAAAGAAAACAGCCAGGCACGGTGGCTCAAGCCTGTAATCCCAGCACTTTGGGAGGCCGAGGCAGGCAGATTATTTGAGGTCAGGAGCTCGAGACCAACCTGACCCCGTCTCTACTAAAAATACAAAACTTAGCTGGGCGTGGTGGTGTGCGCCCGTAGTCCCAGCCACTCGGGAGGCTGAGGCAGGAGAATCGCTTGAACCTGGCAGAGATTGCAGTGAGCTGAGATCATGCTATGGCACTCCAGCCTGGGTGATAGAGCAAGACTTTGTCTCAAAAAAAAAAAAAAAAAAGGACTTTCTTAGGTTTAAAGATTTAAACCTAAGACATGACCAGGTGAAATGCATGGTTTGAGAAGCCAGTGCAAAAGTTCTCTGGCTGTAGGGAAAATTTGAATATGGAGTGTTTAGTCCAATTATTAGATGAAATGAAAATGTTGACATAGAAATCTTGATACAGGGCCAGGCATGGTGGCTCACGCCTGTAATCCCTGCACTTTGAGAGGCAGAGGCAGGTGGATAGCTTGAGCCCAGGTGTCCCAGAGCAGGCTGGACAACATGGCAAAACTCCATCTCTACAAAAAATACAAAAATTACCCAGGCACGGTGGTGTGCATCTGTAGTCCCAGCTACTTAGGAGGCTGATGCAAGAGAATCGCTTGAACCTAGGAGGTTGAGGTTGCAGTGAGCTGATATCAAGCCACAGCACTCCAGCCTGGGTGCGAGGACTGAAAAACCCTGTCACACACCAAAAAAAAAAAAAAAAAAAAAGAGAGAGAGAAAGAAAAAAGATAGGTTGATACCATTAACTTAAAAAAAGCAACTCCATTGAGACCAGCCTGACCAACATGGTGAAACCCCGTCTCTACTAAAAATACAAAAATTAGCACGGCGTGGTGGGGCGTGCCTGTAATCCCAGCTACTCAGGAGACTGAGGCAAGAGAATCACTTGAACGCGGGAAGCAGAGGCTGCAGTGAGCCGAGATGACGCCATTACACTCTAGCCTGGGTAACAGAGTGAGACTCCATCTCAAAAAAAAGAAAAGCAACTCCAAATCAAAATTGCATGTACAGCATGATCTCATTTCATTTAAAATATATATATTTAGGCCAGGCATGGTGGCTCAGGCCTGTAATCTCAGCACTTTGGGAGACCAAGGTGGGTGGATCACTTGAGGTCAGGAGTTCAAGACCAGCCTGACCAACATGGTGAAACCCGTCTCTACTAGAAGCACAAAATTAGCCAGGCATGGTGGCGCATGCCTGCAATCCCAGCTACTTGGGAAGCTGAGGCAGGAGAATCGCTTGTACCCGGGAGGCGGAGGTTGCAGTGAGCCAAGATCGCGCCACTGCACTCCAGCCTGGGCAACAAGAGCAAAATTCCATCTCAAAAAAATAAAAATAAAAAATATATATTTATGGCTGGGCCCAGTGGCTCACACCTGTGATCCCAGCACTTTGGGAGACTGAGGCAGGAGGATCACGAGGTCAAGAGATTGAGACAATCCTGGCCAACATGGTGAAACCCCATCTCTAATAAAAATACAAAAATTAGCTGGGCATGGTGGTGCACCCCTGTAGTCCCAGGTACTTGGGAGGCTGAGGCAGGAGAATCGCTTGAACCCGGGAGGCAGGGGTTGCAGTGAGCCGAGATCGCACCACTGTATTCCAGCCTGGCAACAGAGCAAGACTCCATCTCAAAATATATATATCTGTTTTATGTATATATATATATATACACACACACACATATATACATAAAAAAGATCTGGAAAGTGTTAATAGTGGTGATGACAATGTGATGTTTATATTTCCTTATTTTTGCTTATCTGTATAATCAAATTTTCTCTATGTTTATATTTATACTAATAAAAATGTTATTAATTTTAATAACTGCATGAAACCCATCATCAAAGACTTTTTCCTGTTACTTCGCTCCGTGTACCTCTCAAATCCTCTTCCATTCACCACCAAGCCCAGGCTGCCTACTCATTGCCCCTCACCTCTGCACTTTATTCCCACTTCCCTCCTTTCCTTCATCCATATCCTTATCCCTTTCTTTAAAGCCTGTCCCAAATTTACCTCCTTCAGGCAGCCTGTCTCGTTTGACACATTCTTTGCCCTGTGGCCTCAGACAGCTGTTTGTAAAAGGGAGATAATAACACCTATCTCATGAGGATGCTACAGAGGTTGAGTGAAATTAACAGATACAAAGCCCCTGGTACAGAGAGAAGCCAGTCCAGAAGCCCAGAGCTCACTTTCCTCATCTGAGCCATGGACTGCTTGGCCCAGAGCATCTTTGTTATAGACTGGTCTTCATTCTCTTGTCTGTTTACATCCTCAACTTAAACTGGGATGGTCCGGGCACAGTGGCTCACACCTGTAATCCCAGCACTTTGGGAGGCCGAGGTGGGCAGATTACTTGAGGCCAGGAGTTTGAGATCAGCCTGGCCAACATGGTGATACCCCCGTCTCTACTAAAAATACAAAAGCTGGGCATGGTGGTGTACACCTGTAATCCCAGCTACTGGGGAGGCTGAGGCGGGATAATCACCTGAACCCGGGAGGCGGAGGTTGCAGTGAGCCAAGATTGCACCACTGCACTCCAGTCTGGGCGACAGAGTGGGGCTCCATCTCAAAAAACAAAACAAACAAAAAAACCTAAAAATAATAATAATAAAATAAAAAAGGCCAGGCATGGTGGCTCATGCCTGTAATCCTAGCACTTTAGGAGGCTGAGGCGGGTGGATTGTGTGAGCTCAGGAGTTCAAGACCAGCTTGGGCAACACAGTGAAACCCTGTCTTTACTAGAAGTACAAAAATTAGCCAGGCATGATGGTGGGCACCTATAATCCCAGCTGCAGGGGATGCTGAGGCAGGAGAATCACTTGAACCCAGGAGGCAGAGGTTGCACTCCAGCCTGGGTGACAGAGAGAGACTCCATCTGGAAAAAATAAAATAAATAAAATAAATAAATAATAAAATAAAATAAAACAAAAACCTTTCTATAATGAGCACACCTGGGGAAGAGGGGGACTAAAAAGAGAAAGTAGAGAAGGAGAAGAAAAGATGGACAGAAAGGAAAATGCAGGATGAAGAGAAGATGGAAAGGAGGGAAGAGGAACTTGTCAGGCTCGGGGCAGAGGCTCCTGGCTGCTTGAGTCTACTCTTGGGGAACACCCAGACACCACTCACAAACCCCTGGGTCCAGGCATCACCCCAACACCAAATGGGCATTACCTCTCTTGACATGATCCTGGGATCTTGGCTCCCCGGGCAGGGGGCTCCCTTGACCCGGGGCCTGCATCTTGGACAGCCGCTCCTTCACACCGCTGATGTTGCCGTGCAGTCCCCAGGCATCGCAGAGCTTCGGCAGACTGTCTTCCTGGTCGGCCAGCAAGGATCTCTCCGGTGCATCCGAGGCGCAGAATGCCACCTGCCACGGAGCCTCCATGTTAAGGAGAGTGTTGAGAAGAGGGGGACCTGAACTTCAGAGTCCCGGCCCCGCATTTGTTGAGAAATACTGAGGTCTGCCTGCCCCTCACACTTGCTAACCAAAAGGATGGGGTAGGAATCACAGATGTGGGAGAGAAAGGACTGTGGGGACATGGAGGGAGGCTGCCAATGATGTCTTCCTGGGTCGTCCTTTATTTTGAGATCATGTCTTCCATCTCTTTTTGGAATTGCAGTGTCTTACTGGTTTTTTGCAATGAAATGATATTTGTTTAAAAGACCTAACTTAACAAAAATTAAATTGGGAGCCTTACTCGGTTAGCTGAGGCAGGAGAATCCCTTGAACCCTGAAGGCGGAGGTTGCGGTGAGCCGAGATCATGCCGCTACACTTCAGCCTGGGTGACAGAGCAAGACTCCGTCTCAAAAAAAAAAAAAAAAAAAAAAAAAAAAGGGAGCCTTTGTAAGCTTTGAGTCTGTTTTAAAAAAAGTAAAATTTTTAAAAATGAAATAAATTGACAGCCTGAATTTTGAAATTAAAATTCAAAGACTATATATATAAATGTTTCTGCCTGGTGTGGTGGCTCATGCCTGTAGTCCTAGCACTTTGGGAGGCCGAGGAGGGCAGATCACTTGAGGTCAGGAGTTCGAGACCAGCCTGGCCAACATGGTGAAACCCCATCTCTACTAAAAATACAAAAATTAGCCGGGCGTGATGGTGCATGCCTGTAATCCCTGCCACTCAGGAGGCTGAGGTAGGAGAATCACTTGAACCGGAGGTGGAGGTTGCATTGAGCCAAAATCTTGCCATTGCACTCCAGCCTGGGTGACAAGAGCTAAACTCTGTCTTGAAAAGAAAAAAAAAAAAATTCAGGCCAGTGAAATCCAGAAATCTAGAAATCAGTCAAGTGGCAGCTCCTCTTATTAAGAAGAGAAATCTTTGAAATGATCCAATCATTACATGGTCAGAGGAAGAATCAGTTGCAGAGAGGGAGAGGACCTGGTTAGGGCTGCACCGCGAGAGTGGTGAGAGGAGGGCGCCGTTAGAGCACGGTTCTCATCCCAGACAGATGGAGGCTGAACCCTGCCTCTTCCTTCCTACTTGCTATAAAGACTGTGACAAATTAACTTACTTCCCTGTATTTGGGATCCTCTTTTACACACTGCGGACAATAATCCTAATTACCACTTAGGGTTACTTTTGAATATTACTCGAAGGGACATAAAGTGCCTGGCACGTAGAATGCCTTTACAACTGCTTTATCTATGATTATTATTCTGGACCAGTGGTTCTCAAAGTGTGCTCTGCAAACACCCAGGAGTCCCTGCAATATTTTGACCTCATGGACCTCCTGAAACCAATGGATTCTAATGAAACCTAGTATGAAAATTTCATACTAGGTTTGATATGAATCTGAAAAGGCTACATATTGTATGATACCAACGATATGACATTCTGAGACAGCAAAACTACAGAGACAGTGAACCAAGATCAGTGGTTGTCAGGGGAGTGGGGGCAGGAGGGCAAGGACAAATAGATGGAGCACAGGGGGTTTTTAGGACCGTGGCACTCTTCTGTATCGTACTGTAATGGTAGATACATGTCATCATACATTGGGCAAAACCTATAGCCCGTACAACATGAAGAGTGGTAGGCTGGGTGCGGTGGCTTACTCCTGTAATCCCAACGCTTTGGGAGGCTGAGGCGGGCAGATCAACTGAGGTCAGGAGTTCGAGACCAGCCCGGCCAACATAGTGAAACCTTGTTTCTACTAAAAATACAAAAATTAGTCAGGCACAGTGGCATGCACCTGTAATCCCAGCTACTCGAGAGGCTGTGGCAGGAGAATCACTTGAACCCAGGAGGCGAAGGTTGCAGTGAGCCAAGATCACGCCATGACACTCCAGCCTGGATGGCAGAGTAAGACTCCATCTCAAAAAAAGACTAGCTGAAACAGGGAAGGGGTGTAAGCACCTCTCCCTAAGACACGCCTACCAATGCTATGTCAGTTTACTATTACCATAGCAACACTTAGAAGTTGCTAACTTCTTTCCATGGCAACAACCCAGAAGTACTACCCTTTTTCTGGTAAATTCCAAATAACCGTCCCATAATTTGCATGTAATTAAAAGTAGGGATAAATATGAGCACAGAACTGCCCCTGTGCTGCTACTCTGGGCACACTGCCCATAGGGTAGCCCTGCTCCTCAAGGAGCAGTGCCTCTGCTGCTACTCTACACTGCCGCTGCCATAAACTTACTGTTTAATACCACCAGCTCACCCTTAAATTATTTTCTGGGCAAAACCAAGAACATTCCCGGGCTGAGCCCCAGTTTGGGGGCTCGCCTGCCCCTGTATCAAATACATATGGAGAACTTGATGCTAAGCCTCGGCCTCTTCAGCCCACTGTGCCCAGGGCAGGGGTAAAGGTGAGCAGCAGAGTCTTGCCCTGGCAGTGAGCCCTGGGAAGAACCAGAGGGGCTCTGGGTGTGTCAGTCCCAGGCCTCCCCCCAAGTCTAAGGACACACCAACCAACCCTCAGCTGTGCCCGGGTGGAAGGTCTCATGCCTCACCAGGAACTTGGCCGGCTGGTTGCTCTTGGTGTACTTGTAAAGTCGGCAAAGCTGCTTTGCTTCCAGCTCTGAGAAGAGGGAGACGAACCGCCAGAGCATCCTGCAAAGGGGGAGACCTCAGGCTGGGGAGGCGGAGCACATGCTTCCTCCCTCCAGCATTTGTCTCAGGGTCAGGACCCACCCAGGGGAATATGGACCACATGCCCCTTTGGGGTTTGGGGTTGGGGGAATGGAGGGGTGGGGATTTGCCCAAACTTGAACATCCTATCCTGGTGTTGAGCGCCTGCACGCAGTTGTTCAGTCAGAGACAAGGTGCAATCAGGGCTGTCCTGAGGGACTAGTAGCTCTCTCCATCCCACTAGGCTCCTGACTCCTCCACATAAAGATGAAGGACTGGGGGATCAACTAAGGTGTCCCCTTGAATGAAGAGAAGGTTGCCCAGGAGTAGGTATGGGGAGCAGAGCAAAGAGACTGCCTTACTTTCTCCAGTGTTTGATTTCCCAGGCTCGGCAGTAATGCTGCAGAAAGGTGTTGATGTGGTCCCCTAGGACCACAAGGCTCTGCTTCATGTACTTCAGCTTCTTCTTCTGGGGAAGGTCCCTGGGCAGGTGCAACTTTCGCAGGAACTTCTTTAGTGGTCTTAGATATTCTTTACACTGAGGAGGCAACAGGTGAGGTGAGGGGCCGTGGGAGAAAAGAAGAGGCAGATGGGCAGTCCCAGGTATCCAGCAGATACCACAGCCCTGAGTGGCCCAGTGCTGCGTGTTTTGGGAGGTGGCTCCGGTGCACATCTCACCAAAAGTCCTTCCCAAGAGTAAGACAAGTGGGGCAATGCACTGTGGGCCTGAGGCTTGTCATTTCCTGACTCAGGCCTCCTGACCAATGGGGAAAAGGGGACAGGGTTCCAGGCTGGCTCTTTACTCACAATTTTGAAGGTGTCCTGATCCAGGCCCTTGGCATGGCGCATGAGCGAGTCCCTGGCAGGGCTGGTGCTGGAGCTTGTCTCCAGGCATGGCACATTCGTCACCTGGGAGGAGGCAGGGGGCACTAAGCCGGGGGCTTGGACTGTTACTCCTGGGGGCAGTGCTGGGCAGGGGACTGACCCAAATGGCAGCCAAAGCCCTTCTCCACTGCCCTCTGACCTTCTTGACCCAGCACGGATGTGAGAGAGCCTTGGGCAAAGAAACCCATCTCTGAAAATCTCTGCTTAGAAAACCTAGAATATTCCACCTGTTTCTTTTATAATAATCATAGCATATTCTACTAGGTAACTTTACAAAGCACTTGGTAAACATTAACTCACTTTATCCTCCCACAAACTCTGTCAGGTTAGATGTTGTTATAGGACCAACAGGTTTATATGCCTGCTGGACACTCACAATCCAATATATAGAGACAGCAAAAGTTGCAGCAGACCAGTCTAGGCAATATAGTGAGACCTGGTCTCTACAAAAAATATAAAAATTGGCTGGGCACGGTGGTGTGCACCTATGGTCCCAGCTACCCAGGAGGCCAAGGTGGGAGAATTGCTTGTGCCCAGGAGGTGAAGGTTGCAGTGAGCCGAGATCATGTCACTGTGAGAAAGAGTTTATTGATTGCTGGGTGCTCAGTGAGGAGATGGAAGGAGTCCTTCAAGTCTATCTTCCCAAGGAGCTCTGGACTGGGGTTTTTAAGGAGATCATGGAGGAGGAGGGATTGAAAAAACTGTGGTCATTGATTGGTCAGGGTCAGGGGGATGAAATTATGTGGACATGGAAACTGCATTCTCTGGTGAATCAGGTTTTTGAGGGGCTCTTTAGACCCCCTGCCATCTATCTGTAGTTTGAGTGATATGTAGAACCTGAAATAATATTTTAAAGAGAAACCTCAATGCTTCGTAATGTTCGAGCTGTTATCTACAGAGCAGTTAAGGAAATATCATCTCGTAACAATGTCTATGGAATTCTTTTTTTTTTTTTTTTTGAGATGGAGTCTCACTCTGTCGCCCAGACTGGAGCGCAGTGGCGCGATCTCTGCTCACTGCAACCTCCGCCTCCCGGGTTTACGCCATTCTCCTGCCTCAGCCTCCCGAGTAGCTGGGACTACAGGTGCCCGCCACCAAACCCGGCTAATTTTTTTTTATTTTTAATAGAGACGAGGTTTCACCGTGTTAGCCAGGATGGTCTTGATCTCCTGACCTCAAGATCTGCCCACCTGGGCCTCCCAAAGTGCTGGGATTACAGGCTTGAGCCACCGTGCTTGGGTAGTCTTTTTTTTGAGATGGAGTCTCGCTCTGTCACCTAGGCTGGAGTGCAGTGGCGCGATCTCCGCTCCCTGTAACCTCCGCCTGCCAGGTTCAAGTGATTCTTCTGCCTCAGCCTCCCAAGTAAGCTGGGACTACAGGCACGTGCCACCATGCCCAGTTAATTTTTTGTGTTTTTAGTAGAGACAGGTTTTCACCGTGTTAGCCAGGGTGGTCTCAATCTCCTGACCTCGTGATCTGCCCACCTTGGCCTCCCAAAGTTCTGGGATGACAGGCGTGAGCCACCGTGCCCGGCCTTTTTTTTTTTTTTTTTTTTTTTTAAATTCACTCTATCACCCAGGCTGGAGTGCAGTGGTATGATCTCTGCTCACTGCAACCTCTGCCTGCCGGGTTCAAGTGATTCTCCTGCCTCAGCCTCCTGAGTAGCTGGGATTACAGGCATGCACCACCACGCCTGGCTAATTTTGTATTTTTAGTAGAGACCATGTTGGCCAGTCTTCTCTCGAACTCCTGACCTCAAGTGATCCACCCACCTTGGCTCCCAAAGTGCTAGGATATTACAGTGAGCCACCGCACCCAGCTGCATCTACGGAATCTAAGGAAACAGGCACCAAAGAACTCCAAGGAAGTGCATCAGAGAGCAGGCTGACCTCATGATTTATGCTGAATGGGCTGCAAGCTCAGTTAATTTTCATTTTTCCCCTCTGTCTTCCTGATTAATTTTATAAAGTTTCTAGGGACAGTTTCAATATCATTAACCCTGGTCACAGATTAGAACAATGAGGCATCAAAAGATTGAAGCAACTCCTTGGGGGAATGAACAGGGATTCATTGACTCACTCACTTGGCAAATGTTTACTGATTGCATCAGACTGGGCCCACTTCTTTGCATCCCTAGCCTCTAGCATCATGTCACGTGATACGGTTTGAATGTGTGTCCCCTCCAAATCTTATGTTGAAACATGATCCCCAGTGTTGGAGGTGGGGTCCAGTGGGAGGTGTTTGGGTCATGGGGGTGGATCTTTCATGAATGGGCTTGGTGCCCTTCCTGCCCTAATTAAGTAAGTTCTCTGTCAGTTCATGTGAGAGCTGGTTGGTAACAAGAGTCTGAAAGGTGCTCCTCTCTCTCTTGCTTGCTCTCTCACCATATGACAAGCTTGCTTCCCCCTCATCTTCTGCCATGCTTGCAAACTTTCTGAGGCCCTCACCAGAAGCAGATGCTGGCACCATGCTTCGTGTACAGCCTGCAGAACTGTGAGTCAAATCAACCTCTTTTCTTTATAAATTGCCTAGCCTCAGGTATTCCTTTATAGGAATGCAAAATGGACTAATAAACCATGCATCCAATGACCATTCAGAAAAAGTGAATGAGGCCGGGCACGGTGGCTCAAGCCTGTAATCTCAGCACTTTGGGAGGCCGAGACGGGTGGATCACGAGGTCAGGAGATCGAGACCATCCTGGCTAACACGGTGAAACCCCGTCTCTACTAAAAAAAATACAAAAAACTAGCCGGGCGAGGTGGCAGGCGCCTGTAGTCCCAGCTACTCGGGAGGCTGGGGCAGGAGAATGGCGTAAACCCGGGAGGCGGAGCTTGCAGTGAGCTAAGATCCGGCCACTGCACTCCAGCCTGGGCGACAGAGCGAGACTCCGTCTCAAAAAAAAAAAAAGAAAGAAAAAGTGAATAATGGTGATGACAAGAAAGAACCTTTGACCATGACAGTGGGGCAAAGAAAGCTGAAAATTAGGCCAGGCACAGTGACTCACGCCTGTAATCCCAACCCTTTAGGAGGCTGAGGTGGGTGGATTGCTTGAGCCCAGAAGTTCAAGACCAGCCTGGCCAGCATGGCAAAACCCAATTTCTACCAAAAATACAAAAAAATCAGCTAAGTGTGGTGGTGCACGCCTGTAATCCCATCTACTTAGGAGGCTGGGGCAGGAGAATTGCTGGAACCCAGGAGGCGGAGGTTGCAGTGAGTGAGACGGAGCCACTGCACTCCAGCCTGGGTGATGGAGCAAAACTGGGTGCAGTGGCTCACACCTGTAATCCCAGCACTTTGGGAGGCCGAGATGGGTGGATTACCTGAGGTCAGGAGTTCAAGACCACCCAGGCCAAAGTGGCAAAACTTTGTCTCTACCAAAAATACAAAAATTAGCTGGGTGTGGTGGCGCATACCTGTAATCCCAGCTACTCAGGAGGCTGAGGCAGGAGAAATTGCTCCAACCCAGGGGGCAGAGGTTGCAGTGGGCCAAGATCATGCCACTGCAGTCCAGCCTAGGTGACAGAGTGAGACTCCATCTCAAAAAAAAAAAAAAAAGGAAAAAAAAAAAGAAAAAAGAAAGCCGAAAATGAGTAGCAGCAAAGTGACTGTGAAATAACACTGGACGTCAGAACTGGATTTGCCACCTTTCAACATCTTCTCAGAAAAGTATGAATTTTGGTCTGTGTTGGGGGAGAACAAGGAAGAACCTGTCCAGACCACTCTGAAAGGAAAGGCCTGGGAAAGGGAGGGAGGTGCATGGAGAGGAGATGGGACACAGGCTCCTCCAGGTCCTGGAGACAGGACTCTGGCCGATCCACTCTCCCAACACAGCACACACACCACACAACCACACACAGACCATGTGTATACACACACATACTCTCAAGTCTTAATAACCAACAACGAGAGGCGACCTCTTCCCCATCGTATTGCCGGGAACACAGGTCAAGCATAAACTTCTGAATGAATGAACATTCTTGTGCTTTAGGCCTCTTGCTATCTCAGGTACCCTACCATTGTTCTTCTCTTCTCTCCTGAATTTCATGTTCTCTACTTTCCAAAACCAGCCCCTTCGGGACGCTCTTTCCCTCCCTCCCTCACACCCCACTTCACCTTCTCTAGTGGCTTGTCCCCTTCACCCCCTTGCCCATCTGAGGCCTCCATCTCAGCAGGTGTGCCGGTAGGCTCCAGGGTGGCACTCCCCACGTCCCCTCTGGCTTCTGACCTACTGCTTCTGTGACCTGGCCGTCTCAGGGAGTGGGCAGATTGGCTCCAGAACTCGGAGCAAAGCCATGGCAACTGCCAACACAGAGCCCAGCCCCCCACCCCGCTCCCATCTCCTCATTCTTAGGGGTGGCCGCAGCTGGCTCCTCCTGCTGGGATCTGGACTAGGGAACGGAGCAAGATGTGCGGGGTCGAGCGAGGACTTTGGCAGAGCGCACAGCTCGCCAGGACAGGCTGGCGCCCCTTCTCCCAAGGGTACTGTCAGATGCTGTTGATTCTGACACCACCTGGTAAGGCTTTTGAACTCATTTTCCTGCACGTGTGCCATTCCTGCCTGCTAGGTTACGCCGTGGTGGGGGCTCCCCAAGAGAAAGCACAGTTTGTAAGATTGTTTTCTGATTTGGGACAGAGGTCTAGGGAGCGCTGAAAGGGAGAAGGGACACAGCACGCACTGCCCCTGCGGCCTCCAGGAAGTTGTTAATAATAAGCCCTCGGTGCCGGGTGTTGGGTGCGGGGTGCTGAGTACTGGGTGGGATGTGTTTTGGGGGTGTATAAAGATCCCCGCCAGTGCCCACGGGCTCTGTAACCCTCCCCGCGGCCTTCCCTGGGGCAGGTACCCCAGCGGTCTCGCTTCACAGAGGAGGGGCTGAGACGCGGGCAGTCCCGTCGGCGGCCTAGTGTGCGCAGCCACCAGGCGGGGCGCGGGGTGTCGGCGAAAGTCCCGCCACCCCGGCTCTTCCCACCCGCAAGCCCACCAGGGACCCGAAGCCGACGGCGGAAACACGGTGGGCAGAGTCCGGGTGTAGCCTGAGCCGGCAGGGCAGGGCCGGGAGGCGCTCAGGCGACCTCAGGACCCTGGCCCCTGGCGCGGCAGCAGCGCCCCCTCGCGTCCCTGGGCGGCACACGGCGGGGTCCCGGCAATGAGAGACCGTTGCTGCCACGGTTTCCCCACTCGAGCCACCTTTTCTTCCCTGAAACTCGGAATTTCTTCTCCCGGACCTTCCTTCGTGTCCTCTGGGCCCGCGGCCCAGTTGTCCCCACTCAGTGTGGCCCTGTTCTTCGCCTTCCTTCGCGACAGTGCGGTGGGACCGCCGTCGGCCCGGGCCTCCCCTCGCCACCCAGCGGCCACCCCGGCCACAGGACAGGGTCATAGCGGCTTCAAGTAGGGGTAGCCCGGAGGCCCGGGGCTTTGGAGGAGCACCTTTGAGTCCCGAAACTTTTTCACTTGTCCTCTATGCCAGGATGTTCAGCAACCGTCTTTTTTTTTTTTTTTTTTTTTTTTTTTTTTTGGTAAGGGGAAGAATGAACCTTCCACTTATCCGCCTCCAAAATGGAAGGTCTATTTTCTGAGCATTAATTCTGGATTATTTTGTGAGTATTAAGAAGGATAATTATATTGGCAAGAGCAAGGGGAAAGGAACCTTTACATACGTTTCTACTGGCAGTGAGACTGGTAAACAATGTATTTAAAAGTGTTTAAATGTGCATGCTCTGTGACGCATCAGTTCTACTTATAAGAATTAGTCCTAAGGGGAGAAGATGAGGACTGTTACAATAGTGACAATTTGGAAACAATTGCAATGTCACTAATAGAATATATAAATCATGGTATATTCATAAAAACATTAAACATGCCGCTATATATTTATTGATATGGAAAACAGGAACTAAAACCATGTATGGTATGATTCCATTTTGGCTCAAGCCTGTAATCCCAGCACTTTGGGAGGCCGAGACAGGCGGATCACGAGGTCAGGAAATCGAGACCATCCTGGCTAACACAGTGAAACCCCGTCTCTACTAAAAAGTACAAAAAAAATACTAGCCGGGCAAGGTGGCGGGTGCCTGTAGTCCCAGCTACTCGGGAGGCTGAGGCAGGAGAATGGCGTGAACCCGGGAGGCGGAGCTTGCAGTGAGCTGAGATCCGGCCACTGCACTCCAGCCTGGGCAACAGAGTGAGACTCCGTCTCAAAAAAAAAAAAAAAAAAAAAAAGTCTTGAAGGATACACTTCAAAATATCCAACGTAGTTTTTCACTTTCTTCACATATTATCTGTATTTTTTAAAATGACAGATATGCTTTACTTTTACAGTCAGGAAAGAGGTATTTCATTTTGTTTTGTTTTGTTTTGAGTGGGAGTTTTGTTCTTATTGCCCTGGCTGGAGCAATGGGGTGATCTCGGCTCACTACAACCTCTGCCTCCCAGCTTCAAGCGATTCTCCTGCCTCAGCCTCCCAAGCAGCTGGGATTACAGGCATGTGCCACCACGTTGGGCTAATTTTGTATTTTTAGTACAAACAGTGTTTCTCTATGTTGGTCAGGCTGGTCTCAAACTCCCGACCTCAGGTGATCCGCCTGCCTCGGCCTCCCAAAGTGCTAGGATTACAGGTGTGAGCCACCGCGCCCGTCCAGGAAAGAGTCTTTTTAAAAAATCTACTCATAAGGACTAAATAACATTATTAAAAACATTATATAATGCTAAGTTTAAAAACAACATAATTCTGCCAGGTGTGGTGGCTCACGCCTATAATTCCAGCAGTTTGAGAGGCAGAGATGGGTGGGTCACCTGAGGTCAGAAGGTTGAGAACAGCCTGGCCAACATGGGAAAACCTCGTCTCTACTGAAAATACAAAAATTAACTGGGTATGGTGGTGCATGCCTGTAATCCCAGCTACTCAGGAGGCTGAGGCAGGAGAATCACTTAAACCCGGGAGGCAGAGGTTGCAGTGAGCCAAGACCATGCCCCTGCACTCCAGCCAGAGCAACAGAGCAAGACTCTGACTCAAACTAATAATAATAATAATAATAATAATAATTCTTTATTTTTAACCTTGAGTTCAAGGGTACATGTGCAGGTTTGTTATATAGATAAACCCGTGTCATGGGGTTTTGTTGCACAGATTATTTTGTTACCCAGGTATTAAGCTTAGTACCCATTAGTTATTTTTCCTGATCCTCTTTCTTCTCCCACCCTCCACCTTCCGGTAGGCCCCAGTGTATGTTGTTCCCCTCTACGTGTTCATGTTTTCTCATCATTTAGCTCCCACTTATAAGTGAGAACATGCGATATTTGGTTTTCTGTTCCTATGTTGGTTTTCTAAGGATAATGGCCTTCAGCTCCATCAATGTTCCTGCAAAGGACATGCTCTCGTTATTTTTTATGGCTGCATAGTATTCTATGATGGATATGTACCACATTTTCTTTATCCAGTCCACCGATGGGCATTTAGGTTGATTCCATTTAGAAGCGATTGTGAATAGTGCTGTAATAAACATACGAGTGCATGTGTCTTTATGGTAGAACGATTTGTATTCCTTTGGGTATACATCCAGTAACAGAATTGCTGCGTTGAATGGCAGTTGTGTTTTTAGCTCTTTGAGGATTCACTACACTGCTTTTCACCATGGTTGAACTAATGTACACTCCCACAAACAGGGTAGAAGTGTTTCTTTTTCTCTGCAACCTTGCCAGTATTTGTTATTTTTTGACTTTTTAATAATCATCATTCTGACTGGTGTGAAGTGGTATCTCATTGTGGTTTTGATTTGCATTTCTTTAATGACCAGGGATGTTGAGCTTTTTTTCATATGCTTATTTGTTGCATGTATGTTTTCTTTTGAAAAGTGTCAGTTCATGTCCTTTGATGGCTTTTTAATGGGTTTTTTTTTTTCTTGTAAATTTGTTTAAGTTCCTTATAGATGCTGGATATTAGACCTTTGTAGGATGCATAGTTTGCAAAAATTTTCTCCCATTCTGTAGGTTGTGTTTACTCTATTGATAATTTATTTTGCTGTGCAGAAGCTCTTTAGTTTAATTAGATCCCATTAGTCAGTTTTTGCTTTTGTTGAAACTGCTTTTGGTGACAGACACAATTCTGAGAAGATGCAGTAGAACACAAAAAAGGAAAAGTTAATAGTTAAAAAACAACAACAACAACAACAAAACAGAGGCCAGGCGCGGTGGCTCACACCTGTAATCCCAGCACTTTGGGAGGCGGAGGCGGGCGGATCGCCTGAGGTCAGGAGTTTGAGACTAGCCTGGCCAACATGGTGAAACCCTGTCTCTACTAAAAATACAAAAATTAGCTGGGTGTGGTAGGGCACACCTGTAGCCCCAGCTACTCAGGAGGCTGAGGCAGTAGAATTGCTTGAACCCAGGAGGCGGAGGTTGCAGTGAGCTTAGATTGTGCCACTGCACTCCAGCCTGGGTGACAGAACAAGACTCCATCTCAAAATAAAAATAAAAACAAATAAATACATAAAAATTTTAAAAATCAGACCAGGCACAGTGGCTCAAGTCTGTAATCCCAGCACTTTGGGAGGCTGAGGCAGGCAGATCACCTGAGGTCAGGAGTTTGAGACCAGCCTGGCCAACATGGCGAAATCCCGTCTCTACTAAAAATACACGAAATCCCGTCTCTACTAAAAATACAAAAATTAGCCGGGTGTGGTGGTGGGCACCTGTAATCCCAGCTACTCAGGAGGCTGAGGCAGGAGAATCGCTTGAACCTGGGAGGCAGATGTTGTAGTGAACTGAGATCGTGGCACTGCACTCCAGCCTGGGCGACACGAGTGAGACTCTGTCACACACACACACACACACACACACACACAAAAGAAAATTAAAAAATCAGCTGGCATGGTGGCTTACACTTGTATTCTCAGCACTTTGGGAGGCCAAGGCAAGAGGATCTTTTGAGCCTAGGAGTTCGAGACCAGCATGGGCAATGTAGAGAGACTCCCCACCAAAAAAACAGAACATAAAAGGGTATGTATGCTACGTTTCATAAGTGGAAGCAAATATGGATCAAGACTGGGAGAAAATACAGTTAAAAAAAAGAAAAGAAAAGAAATTTGCCGGGCACAGTGGCTCACACCTGTAATCCCAGCACTTTGGGAGGTTGAAGTGGGTAGATCACCTGAGGTCAGGAGTTCGAGACCAGCCTGGCCAACGTGGTTAAAACCAGTCTCTACTAAACATATAAAAATTAACTGGGTGTGGTGGTGCACACCTGTAATCCCAGCTACTCAGGAGGCTGAGGCAGGAGAATGACTTGAACCCAGGAGGGGGAGGTTGCAGTGAGCTGAAATCACACCACTGCACTCCAACCTGCGTGACAGGTTGAGACTCTGTCTCAAAAAAAAAAAAAAAAATTGGGTATATACATACCTATATAAATACATGAATATATGTGTATGTGTGCATGTGTGTGTATATATATCCCTGATTCAATTCAGAAGGAGGAAATAAATGTTAGAACTTCAAAGTTTAGCTGCCCCTTCCTGTTTCCTAATCCCAAGCTACCATTTTCCCTGCCAGAGCTTTCAGCAAGCCCTAGGCTTTGGATGACTGCCCTATTCTCATAATGGTTTTATTATCAACCATGGGGAGTAGCCTGAAGAGACAATTGAACCTAACAGCAGCCAGGAATAATGGCTCAACATTAACTAAGACAAAACAAAAATCCATTGCCTTTGGGAGCGTTCTTCAAAATTTCATTGGTTAGCATAAAATGACACTATAGGGCAAATCAAGTTATTCAACAAAGCCATCCCTCCACCACAGTTTTTTTTAATCCAAATATGTGCCATATACTTTAGGCATCTGGTAGGTTGGCGGGGGGTTGGGGGTTGTTAATTTGTCCACCCTCCACTTTATGCAGGTTGGCATGCTCTTTGATGGCACACACCTGTTTCATAATCATCACACTTTACCTCCATCCCCCAGTATATGTGATGGAACTCACGAAATTCTTGTTGTATATCCTGAATTAAGCATACATAGAAAATAACTCAGCATCTACTGCTTATACTTCCCCTCATAGATATGAAATCTGCCCATCTCTCTTTCTGAGTTGAACAGTGATGTAGAATCCTTGTATTATCCTAAAGAACTCTCCTCTATCCCCTTTTCTTTATAAGAAACCCAAGAGTAAGCCAGATGCAGTGGGTCACACCTGTAATCCCAGCGCTTTGGGAGGCCAAGGCGGGCAGATCACGAGGTCAAGAGATTGAGACCATCCTGGCCAACATGCTGAAACCCTGTCTCTACTAAAAATACAAAAATTAGGTGGGCATGGTGGCACGTGCCTGTAGTCATAGTTACTTGGGAGGTTGAGGCAGGAGAATTGCTTGAACCTGGGCCGTGCAGGTTGCAGTGAGCCGAGATCATGCCATTGCACTCCAGCCTGGGCAACAGAGTGAGACTCAATCTCACACACACACAAAAAAAAACCCACCACCAAACGTATCTTAAAATTGCCAAAAGAGACTTTTTGATCTTGCTCCAAATTATCCAATTAGAATTGTATAAAGACTCCAAGAAAAGTAAGGTCATTGAAATCCCTGTCATAGCTGGAGTGCTGGGTCTG